GTTGCCGGCAACGAGAGGGCACACCGGAATCAAACCGAAATCGGCGTACGATTTCAATCCACTTTTAAATTTAAACCCGATTTTCGAAATCGCCCGCGCCCCTCCAACGATCGTGCCATTCTAGCTTTTCCGAAATTTACGCAAGTAGTCAACCGATCGATCAAGTGACCTGCGCGAAAAGTCGTATCCCCACATACTTTGCACACACAATTTTATGATTGCCTGCTACTGCATTCCGAAAGTTCGTTCACGCTCCACTCTCCCACAGCGATGCTTACTTGAGGACGGCATGATCTAACGTCTTACAACTGGAAGTGCAACCCAAATGAGACTTATTCCAAAATGCTGAACCTTAAACATTTCAAGACAAACAAATTGTACGAAGTAAAAATTTTATATATTGGTTATATCTACAATCTGAATCTAAGGGACAAACTTCTTACCATCAAATTGTTTCGCGCCGAGATCTGCAAAGGATAACAAAAGTGTGAACCAGAAATAAGATAAACTGTGGAACGAAAAAAAATGTGTATAGATATGAATAATCAGATACATACAAATATAACACTGCAGTTATATATATACTACCGACTCCGAAACGGTAATTAGTTAAGTAAAGTGAAGCACGAAATTAGTTATCGTCGTTTGTGCAAATAAATAAAAAAAACTTACCATGGGACTACAAATGCGTGATCAGTGAACGTACCTGGCAGTTTTGCGTCCTAAGCCGCGATCTCTTGCGTCGGTAAACCATCGTTTCATGGTACGCTCGATCTCAAGCGTAGAAGACTCCCGGAAACGATTGGTAGATTTTAAGGCATCCGTACATAAACAGTAATTACATTACATAAGACTGACCAATGATGGCTTTAGGAAACTTGTAACTTCCCACTGCAATTTTACCAGCTGTTCCGGTCCAATGGCACGCGAGTGCCAAATTCTCCCCGATCAAAGATGCAAGCATTCGGCGTATACTTGATCCAAGATCGGTGCACAGATGACGCTTGAGTGCTTTGACCTTATAATATGATGTGGAATTATTCTGTCACTCACAGTGCCCGTGAAGTTATTCAATACTGAAAGATCTTCTTCCAGTTTCAGAAGATCGGTGGTATTGTTTGCCTATGAAGGCTCGTAGGCCGTCGTATTTGTCGCATCCAGGTGACAAATCACGCCGCCAAGTTTGGCGATCATCAGCGCCATATAATTGCGAATGCCACTTAGGTTTGATAGCATCCGTTCAAAGTAGTCTGGTAATCGTAGTAGCTGATAATGAGAAAGTTACCTTGCCACTTGTTGGCGTAAGCGGGCATATGCTAAGGGGATAAGGGCGTTTTTACAAGTCGTGTTGTGCTAATTGAAGTATAGGAGTGTTAGTAACTCTTACGCAACATACCTTGGACCGGCCACATTTGACAGTATGGCATCTTCCGTGGGTCTCCTCTGAGACTTCAGTTTTAGTGGACTATAAGTAATATGAAACGAGAACTTTGCACTGGACTTACCTAGGTGATGAATGTCCAAGAGCCATGATATCACCGGGGGAGTCAAGGAACTGTATCGGAGAATCTCTTCGAATCCTCTGCGACGGAGGTATCTTGACAGAACTGTCATCCGATGACGATGGTACCGGTATTCTAAAAGGAATGTGATAACGTATGACAATGTACCTGCGGCGAACGGTGTACCGCTGTGAAAATGGTGTCATTGGCAACGTATCGTCAGTTGACGCCGACATACCAGATACGGCAAGAAAATTCCTTTCGAATTTGGTTGCATCTCTGAAATTATTTGAGAAGAATGCATATAACTGGAAGTATTACCTATGTGATAAATCTCATGAAAATCGTAAGCTGGAACCGTTTCCGGGAACTATCCACCGTCAAACAAGAGGCGTTGGTAGGCCTGAAAGGTGGGTGGCTTCGGCCAGCGCACACGGTTCTCATCAGTCAGCCATTTGCTGTGAACAATGGCTACCGAGTCATCAACATCAAATATGACGACCAAGTACATCTAAAAAAGTTAGTTCATTCGGTCTCATGTTAAAGTGACGACCGAAACCTAAGATATCCACTTTAAAAGAGAAGTTTTACTTCATGAAGGTGTGTAATATGGGTATCAACACATCAACATCATTAGTGAGAGAAATAAGAAAAAATTTACAAGGAAGGGTTTTCACAGAAACTTGGACAACATTGTGTTCCAGTCCGTCAACAGAAAAAATGTAAGGTGATGGATCTCATTGGGGTAAGAAAGAAATTACGCGGGTTTAAGAAATAACGAATAGTTATGGAATCCTCAGAAATATTCTACACAAATGCTGGTTTCCCACCTGCAACGACAATGTTGTTTGGTGGTAAGCATGAAATACACCTCATCATGTTATAAGTACAGTTATAGCACAATACTGCAGATTTTACTATTTAGCTTATAATTTACTAATTGGTAATTGATAACCTGATATGTCACTAACACTTTACAGCCAGCACGGGTCATCAGCACCCAAAGGAAAAGGAGCGCACCGCTCACCTTATCGAACAAAGCACGACCAAAGTGGCTGTCGCCGCGAAAATACCAGCCAGTTAAAACAATTGGCACTGCATTTGTAACGCAATCAATGGAAACAAATAACCATGAAAATAGGACATTGGTAATCTATACAGCGAATTAAAACAAACTACGTCATTCGTTTCTTGAAATTTCAATGATTACTCTGGCCGTCGGTTACCGGCACGTTACCGAAATTTGGCGGTGGGCAATTTGCCACTAGGGACATTGAACTCCCCGTTTCACGTACAAATCTCGGGTTATCCGACCAACCCACACTGGGAAACACCAGACTCGCGTGTCGCTGTTCGCCATAGCTAATCAGTAGTGCATATCCCCCGCCATAACCAGGGTTCGGGCCCAGGCCTTTTCATCTCGAAGGGGTGTGTGTTACCGGTGCGCCACCCCGCTCCCGTCCGAGCTGCTCCAAATCATCAAGGTAAGCTTGCTCAAGTGTCGACCTCTATGACGGCCAAGGATGCCGGACAGCTTCGATCGGAGACACGGTACCCAACCCGTTAGCTCCGAGGGGGTGCCTTCCACCAAGTCAAGTCTTTCAAACGGAATAGAGTGCACATCCTCCAACTTAAAATTGCGTCCCATTTTTGGTGTACATGTCACGCGATTACTTGCGAGTGGTAAGTGGGGCTGATGAATCTTTGTTCGGCTGACTGCCATTTGGACTCCATACTTCATATTTCAAATTTCTGTTTCTCACTATGCTTTCGGCCTATTCAAATTGTGAGCACTTGCTCTCCCCAAGAATACACCCGATTTTACACCATGTAATTGAATCCGAGAACTCCAGAGTGCCGGAAACGTGCTTTTCAAAACGCACCACGAAGATGCCGAGGCTTACTACAGCGAGATCCTCGATTCACTTTGGCCCAGCGGCGAGCCTATGGTCCTACTCGACGTGACTTCGTGGACGAGCTGTGATTTAAATTTTTCCACATACACGAAGAAGTACTCCTGTAGAAGGAGTATTTTCGGAATGAGTACGGCCCTAGATCTTTGAACTTCTAACACTTCTGCTAAAAATAATAGCGGTGGCCGCACTTTGAATTTTTCTGAATTCTCGCGAGAAATATCGTGCGGCACTGCCAGCCTACGGAATCTGTGGACGACACCTGAATTTGCAGATTTTATACTTGGAGGTGCCTTCTTAGCCCCTAAGTGATCGGATATAGCTGTATGTGTAAATCGGGTGACCCAGCATCGGTAACTAAACGAGTATGAGGTCGTCCATTATGAATAAACGGGCCATATTGGTCAGTTTAGAGTGGCCTCGCATAAAAAATCTTGGGTGGGATAGCAAATTATGTATTATCGGATTGACGATATGTCATCCATTAGAACAGTGTTTATCGCTGAGAAAACACAAGCCACTTTGCAAAAGCTACATCGGACTTGATAGGGTAAGCGCCGTTCAGTGAGCAGTTCATATGATGGATGAAAAATATTAGGAACCACACCATTGCACGGTAATCCTTTTGTGTGTTGGGCTTCCACGAGATCCATATAACCAGTGGCTATAGGCAGGCAGGAAAATACAATTACATATCATGACAAGTGATAAATCCTCCTTCCGAATTCGGTTGCTGCTGAGAAGCAGCAACCAGAACAGCCACAATCCAATAACCACTGATGGTTACTCCCACTTGACTGGATCCAGTGAAGTCTTTCACATATGGCAGACCAAAGCGAATATACGAGGTTAAACCACAAACGGCTTAGCAACAAATCAACCAACCCCAGGTTCCTTGTCGATATGGGCGCCGAGGTTAGCCTTATCGCATCTCCTTGTAAATGAGCCATCTCCAGCTGCCACCCTCGAAGAAACAGGTAGCAAACAACTCTATCACTCTCGCATATAATGAAAAATGGCTTACTCTCGATCTCGGTCTCCTGAGGTGCTTTCCATGGATTTCCACAATCACTTATGTCAGCCGCCGCATTTCGAGCATCGGCTTTCTAACTAGATTTGGTCTGCCGTAGACTTGAAACACAAGATCGTACGTGATAGTGTCACTAGACTGCCGGCTAAGGGCCCAACCACAATCATAGGCTCACTGAACATGGGCTCGTTTGTGCCAAAATGGGACACTCAATCTCCGGTACTCTCAAAGATTTTGCAATTCACCGGTTCACCATATCTCTACTAGAGGGTCCGTAACGACTGCCCGCCCAGAAGCCCTACTCCGGAGGGTTTGAAGATATCATAAACTGAGTCACAGGGGTTATTTGTCCCTCGAATAGTCCATCGGCGTCACCGCTACACGCTGTTTCCAAATCAACTCTCGGTATTGGAGGTCGTGAAGTGATTAGCAAGCAGTTGACGACTCCACGACCCCCTATCGCTATCCAGTTCCTAACATCCACAATTTTTTCGGCCTCTAGGTAAGTACGCTTTTTCTTGAATCGGTTTGATCAGGCTGAGCTGTCAAACTCCGATGATCCCGGGACATAATCTGGAAACCACTTTTACACTATTTGGTCTGCTCAAATTACGTTGCTTGCCTTCTGGCTCGAAAAAACGGCGCAAACCTGATAGCCATTTGCCTACAGGTTTACCCGGTCTAGACTTTGTGTTCGCTAACACTGGGGATGTTCTGATTGCCAGTAAAGACGAGGATGAACACATCCGTCATCCGAAAGAAGTTTACAAACAAATTCAAACCGGTGATATTTCCGTGAAATCGCTCAAGAACAATTTTTGTGCCCCTAGCCTCAGCTTCTTAGGTCACCCTAGTGACAGTCAGGACATTGCACCATTGCCACAGGAAGTCAGCATGATATCCTACTACCCGCTTCCAGAATCCAAGTAGGGGTTGCGTTGATACCGAATAACTACCACTACTTCATTTCCAACTGCACAGATTCCCCAAAGCCCCTGGATAACTCTCTCCGAGACAACCAAAACATTGTTCTCACTTAGGCAGCAAAGTATTCTTTTTCGAAAGTTGAGTTGGTCTTATCACGAGACACTTTCCTGACACATCTGAGGCCCAGTGTTGAATCCACTGTTATACTGAAGGCCGATGCCTCCTAGACCGCAGGTGAAAGTTCACAAGTTGGCACCAACGGCTCCGAGTCTCTGTTTTTCTCCCGAAAATTACGTCCCGCTTAGTTTTGGTACGGTACCTCTCGCAGGGAATAGCTAGCTATTTACCTTGACCTCAACAAACCTAGACGTGTGCTCAAAAGTCACCTCTTCTATATCCGTGCAGGCCACGAGTCACTGCGGTAAGCATCCCAAGAAGCCACGGATAGGTACTCTCCGGAGGAGATCAGACAATTAGACCACATTTCGCAATTTTTGACGGAAGTCAGGCACATATTTGATCCTGACAACTTTGTGGATGACGCTTTGGGCGATAAGCACTTCAATCTTTCGTCGTCATCCCTACTCGATTTTGAAAAATTAGCTGCTGCACAACGATGGGACTACGAGTTCAAATGGCTCCTTCCTTATCCGCGGTAAGCAGTCTTTGGGCGTTCTTTGTTTTATACAGATACAACCATTCTTTGTAAAGTTTTGGCGAAAAGTCCCTTTTATTTTCCCATCGAGTCTCTGCGAACCCTCTCTGATCATGTCCACTCAATTTCCGACCAAGTTGTTTGCTCTCCTGTTAAGATCGTTACTGTTTTGTGTTTGTTTAGCCTAATTTGCCCAAAGACGTTCGCGCTCGGGCGAAGTGGTTTTATACTGTCAACGTTGTGAAGTTCATTGCTATACGATCACTGAAATCGGTAAGTTTGCTTTACGCGACGGTCCTTTTAGGTGTTTCCAGATTGAATTAGAAGGCCCCCCTCCTCCCTCCAATAGCTTTACCTACATTTTGGCATGTGTTAACCATTTCACCCGTCGACTCCGTGCTGTTCCAACCAAAAGCATTTCTGCGGAAACAGCTGCACAAACTTTCGGAGGCACTTGAGCCTCGTCCTTCAGAGTGCCTGCCACTGTTGCGTCCGACGTGGTCGCGCAACCTACAGCCACACTCTTCTGTGATCTCGGGAGAATTCCTGGTTACAAGCACAATAAATTTAAGGCCTTCTTTCGGCATCCAACAATCAAGTCAAGCGTTTTCACCGTCAACTAGGGCTTCCATCACGGCAGCCTTGTTAACTAAATGAATGGAGAGTCTCTCAACGATACTCCTTAGCGTTGGCAACACAATCAGGAAGAATATACCGCAAGTCGTTCTCCTTGTGTTGCTTATGGGCGCTATGAGACCCGTGGTGGAAAAACCATACTCATAAAATCCCAAAGGCCCTTTAGACACATTCACAGCTATTTGGTACCCAGTACTGGGTTTGTCAGTACCCGTTCGAACGACGATCGACTGCTTTACCGAAATCGGCAATGAACCAATCTAAAGGAGCAGTTGGGTGTGACCTGCTCGACATCGACTTGCCGAACATTGTGAACGGAGTACGAGTCACTTTTTCCCCTCTAATACTGCTCACTTTTTGCGTGAGCCTTGGTCAACCTACTTCAGCTTTGTTCTTCGTCCCTATTGAGCCAGCAGACATGTTATTTATTGCAAAAGATCATTCCGTAAACATATAATCCGGAAAACGAAGAGATTCTACCTCACAAATATGCGAGGAAGAGGTTTAAACAGTTTCACACTATGCCCGAGGACAGCTTTTAGGCTCATGCGAGCAAATATCTCATCAAGTAAATTCGCATGGATTAGATCGCACATATTAAAAAGATCTCTCAGTACGTAGCTTAAGTCTAAAGAATGGGGATACAATCTACTCAGGAAACTGTGTAAGGCGCATGTATTGGGCCGCTTGCGGCCTTTGTTGGAATTCTCTAAACTCTCACCAGCAGGTTTCCATCCCCTGCAAGGCAGGTACCTACTACATGACTGCCACTTTCTAGAGTCAGAAGGAAATACATTCTGTGCGGGAGAGAAGTCCCGTTTTGGGATATAAGGGAGGATACGCCCAATCAAATGGAGAATTTGGAAACAGGATCTGCTGGCCTTTCATTGATGAGAATAGAAAGGGAACTTATCGCAATACCAGATTCCCAGAGCATTTTGCTGATCTATGCTTTAGACCTCAGTGCTATTGTCGAACAGAGAGGATGGTCGGGAGTTTTGCCTAACTTCACTGAGTTGGATTTACCGCTAACAGAGTGACGCACCGGTTCAGCCCGAAAATTATTCCTGGCCCATATCAAACGATGATTTCATGCATTCACCAACATTTCAAGCTTTTTGGGCAATACGAATCCTATTCTCTCACCTCACAGCACTAGCTGGCTTTGCCGTTAGTTCATCAATACCGGTGGCAGAAGGTTTTAGGCAATACTCAATCTCGACCTTCAAAGAACTTCTACAACTAACCGTTCAAGGATCCCAAATTCTTTAGATCTAAGTGAAGGGCCTATGAAAAGGGGCTTTATCTTCGGCTATTTTTGTTTTTATAAGGGGAATTAGAAGCTATAGCGTTACGCATTTCAATGCAGTCTTTGGCAGATAGATCCTCTGCAAATCGTATAAGGATTGGACAGTTGAAGCGCTGAACGAGCTTACGCAGCCTTGTTATTTGACAAGGGAGATGGGCCATACAACATGCATTCAACAGTGTGTGCCTCACACGCTCCAGGGGATTTTTCTCTGGGAAATTGAACACGACTGCATTAGGAGGGTTCCTCACTCTTATGAGAACTTCGGATGCAACAGAGTCGATAAAGCGGCCAGCCGCTGTCAGAATCCGTAAGGTTGAATGTTCGATGCTTTCAGTGACGCACAGTCGGGGGGCGAGTTTAGATACCGTATCTTCCAACTTCAGGCGCTGAGACTTTATATATGAGATACTTCGGTCTAAAACAGCTGTTATTTCCGTTGCCTAGCTTACAGAGGTCAATCGAACATTGTTTTAAGGCCACGGGTGTTCGAATAAACCTATTCTTCCTAGTAACCGGAGTATGATTGGACGGGGTAGGATTGTAAGTCTTCATTGCCACACGAAACATTTTAAATATCAAAAAGACGCTGTGAGTGATGCGGGAAAGTAACGGCAAACTAGAGCCGAGTTAAAATTTGCCGCTGAGAAAAAATTCCCTGATTTTCCATGGGTTAACGGAATGCCTTAAGAAACTATAATTTCTAGTATTTCCCAAGACAGATGAATGAAAACTATACCGATAACAGCACGCAGCACGACCAGGTGTTGCCGCCAGCTGATGATCAACGGATATCCGTGATATCTTCATAAACTGTGCAAAAGCTCTTAATAGAGTGGCCTACCATCTCCTATTGGTAAATCTCTGGAGATGGGATATTTGTGGTCAGCCAGACCCAGTTATACGAAGCTTTCTTTCATATCAATCCCTGAGTGATTATATTTGGGCCATCCCAATCCTCTTCATTCCCGGTCTCTCAGAATGCCTTGAGGACCAGTACTCGGCTTCCTTCTCTTCCTCGTTTACCTTGTCGTTCTACCTATGTCATCCCTGTCAACATGGTATGATATCTTGGCCAGGTGACAATATGAAGATCATACTCCGTGAGACTACAGTCAGCTATGGTTGCTGGAAAACGATTACCTATCGAATAGAGATTGGCAATCCGTGGCGGTAAAAGCATCCCAGCGACTTAAGGCAAAACTCCTGACCATCCTCTCTGTTCGACAATAGCACTGAGGTCTAAAGCATAGATCAGCAAAATGCTCTGGGAATCTGGTATTGCGATAAGTTCCCTTTCTATTCTCATCAATGAAAGGCCAGCAGATCCTGTTTCCAAATTCTCCATTTGATTGGGCGTATCCTCCCTTATATCCCAAAACGGGACTTCTCTCCCGCACAGAATGTATTTCCTTCTGACTCTAGAAAGTGGCAGTCATGTAGTAGGTACCTGCCTTGCAGGGGATGGAAACCTGCTGGTGAGAGTTTAGAGAATTCCAACGAAGGCCGCAAGCGGCCCAATACATGCGCCTTACACAGTTTCCTGAGTAGATTGTATCCCCATTCTTTAGACTTAAGCTACGTACTGAGAGATCTTTTTAATATGTGCGATCTAATCCATGCGAATTTACTTGATGAGATATTTGCTCGCATGAGCCTAAAAGCTGTCCTCGGGCATAGTGTGAAACTGTTTAAACCTCTTCCTCGCATATTTGTGAGGTAGAATCTCTTCGTTTTCCGGATTATATGTTTACGGAATGATCTTTTGCAATAAATAACATGTCTGCTGGCTCAATAGGGACGAAGAACAAAGCTGAAGTAGGTTGACCAAGGCTCACGCAAAAAGTGAGCAGTATTAGAGGGGAAAAAGTGACTCGTACTCCGTTCACAATGTTCGGCAAGTCGATGTCGAGCAGGTCACACCCAACTGCTCCTTTAGATTGGTTCATTGCCGATTTCGGTAAAGCAGTCGATCGTCGTTCGAACGGGTACTGACAAACCCAGTACTGGGTACCAAATAGCTGTGAATGTGTCTAAAGGGCCTTTGGGATTTTATGAGTATGGTTTTTCCACCACGGGTCTCATAGCGCCCATAAGCAACACAAGGAGAACGACTTGCGGTATATTCTTCCTGATTGTGTTGCCAACGCTAAGGAGTATCGTTGAGAGACTCTCCATTCATTTAGTTAACAAGGCTGCCGTGATGGAAGCCCTAGTTGACGGTGAAAACGCTTGACTTGATTGTTGGATGCCGAAAGAAGGCCTTAAATTTATTGTGCTTGTAACCAGGAATTCTCCCGAGATCACAGAAGAGTGTGGCTGTAGGTTGCGCGACCACGTCGGACGCAACAGTGGCAGGCACTCTGAAGGACGAGGCTCAAGTGCCTCCGAAAGTTTGTGCAG